TAGCCTTACCTCTAACAAAACTAATGGGGGTAAACTTCCTTAAAATCAAATTGTTGGGTTGAAACACTCGCATTTCCCCATACTTAAATTAAGAGAATTGTTTATTTGATTATAGCAATTCTGAAAATAGAGATTTAATTTATTCGTTTTAAGCCTTACATCTGTCAAAGCCATTGGGGGTAAACTTTGTTGAAACTAAATGAACCCATACAGTGGGGGAGAAACATTCACTTTTCCTATGCTTAAGTATTTAATTTAGAGAGAAATATTAAGCCTTATATCCATAAAATATTTAGAGACCAACAAACTGTCTGAGGGTTGCTGCTCTGTCCAGTTGTTAGGGGAAGTTTAAAAAACCCTTTGATGTGTGATCCTTACCCTGGAAGTGATGGTTGGTCATATTATCCCTGGGAAACCCTAATAAAATCCCTTGATGTAGTTTTAAGTTTTTATAATAATTTGTTTTGAAATGAAAATCTAATGCCTACATGTGAAACCTTTGACGTACTGTATGTAATTAGTTTAATTCAATTCGATTAGGGGCCATAAAAGTTGACAGCGTTTGATCTAGGTGAAAGCTAAGTGCGAAAAGTGAGCCGAGTCAAAAAAAAAAAAAAAAGTCATAAATATTGACTTCACACCTCAGTTAGACAGGAGCTGCACTTTATATATCTCTCTGCTCTGCTATGGCCCATACCTTTTTTTTGTTCATGTATTATGCTGTATTTGACAGCTTTGTGGAGAATCGAGGATTATCTCTGCCTTTTATCCTTCACTTTCTTACAGTTACATTTTACCAAAATGTTCATAAACACATACTTTAGTGTCTTTAAAAGTCTTACATTATCCATAACTCAAACTCCTGTTTATGTATTTATAAGAGTTGTATTTCATTTAACGCATATGTTTGGATACTGTATGTGTCTTCTGTCAGTCTGTCTGGCTGCCCCATTGCTGCAGCAGCTAAACTGAACAAGAACCAGGACAAGCATATTAATTTACCGGCTTCAACCAGTGAACCCTCTTCCAACTCTGACAGAGTGCTCAGGTGAGAAATGCAAACTAAGGGCTCTATTTTCCTGCAAGAGAATGCAGTGCTAAACTTGTGTCTAAACTCCAGGCATAAGGTGATTATGGATGTGTTCAAGGGTGTTTTGCAATTTTGGTGACCACAGATGCAGCACACTTTCATGCACAGCCAAGCATCACTGACCATATTATTATAGGAAGGAATACATCATGAGTAGGTGCAGTCAGAATGAAATTGATGAGGTATCACATCAACTATTATGCTGCTGTATTGTTTTCAATGTAATTGGAACACAAGATTTATGACCGCCCTCCATCCCCATCACCTCAACCCCAACCACCCCCATATCCTTTTTTCCAGCATTTACTGTTTTACTGGGGAAATTAGAAGACCACCTGTGTGACATAAAAAAAACCTGCTTTATTATTGGGGTTTCTCATGGGAATAGAACAGAGTGTCCAATCAAACAATAAGAGACCATGGATCACACATCAGAGTTTTTTTTATTACATAAAAGGGGAAACTCTGGCCTGGAAGGAGTTTGGCGAGGCCATGGAGGAAGACTTTCAGTTGGCTTCAAAGAGATTCTGGAGAACTGTCCGGCAGCTCAGGAGGGGGAAGCAGTGTTGTGCCAACACTATTTACAGTGGAGATGGTGTGCTGCTGACCTCAACTGAGGATATCATTGGCCGGTGGAAGGAGTCCTTTGAAGATCTCCTCAATCCCTCCGACACGCCTTCCATAAAGAAGCCAGGGCTGGGGACTCAGGAGGGGACTTGCCCATTACCCTGGCTGAAGTTGTAGAGGTAGTCAAGGAACTCCTTGGTGGCAAGGCTCCAGGGGTGGATGAGGTCCGCCCCGAGTTTCTCAAGTCTATGGATGTTGTGGGGCTGTCTTGGCTGACATGACTCTGCAGCATTGCGTGGAGTTCGAGAACGATGCCTCTGGACTGGCAGACTGGGGTGGTGGTCCCCCTTTTTAAGAAGGGGGACCGGAGAGTGTGTTCCAACTATAGGGGGATCACACTTCTTATCCTCCCCGTGAAAGTCTATGCCAGGGTGCTGGAGAGGAGAATCCGGCCGATAGTTGAACCTTGGATTCAAGAGGAACAGTGCGGTTTTCACCCCGGTCGTGGAACACTGGACCAGCTCTATATCCTCACTAGGGTGTTTGATGGTTCATGGGAGTTTGCCCGACTAGTCCACATGTGTTTTGTGGATCTAGAGAAAGCCTTCGACCGTGTCCCTCATGGCATCCTGTGGGAGGTACTTCGGGACAATGGGGTGCGGGGCTCATTGTTAAGGGCTGTCCGTTCCCTATATGACCTGAGTAGGAGCTTGGTTCGCATGGCCAGCAGTAAGTCAGACCTGTTTCTGGTGCATGTTGGACTCCGCCAAGGCTGCCCTTTGTCACCAATTCTGTTCATTATTTTTATGGACAGAATTTCTAGGCGCAGCTAGGGAACAGAGGGTGTCTGTTTTGGTGGCCGTAGAATCTCATCCCTGCTTTTTGCAGTTCTGTTGGCTTCATCAGTTCAAGACCTGCAGCGTGCACTGGAGGAGTTTGCAGCCCAGTGTGAAGCGGTGGGGATGAGAATTAGGCCCTCCAAATCCGAGGCCATGGTTCTCAATCAGAAAAAGGTGGATTGTCTTCTACAGGTTGGGGGCGACTTGATCCTTCAAGTGGAAGAGTTTAAGTATCTCAGGATCTTGTTCATGAGTGAGGGAAAAATGGAGCGGCAAATTGACAGCTGGATTGGTGCGGTGTCCGCAGTAATGCAGCAGAAATGAGTTTCTTCCAGATAGGGTGCGGAGCTCAGTCACCTGTGAGGAGTAGAGCCACTGCTCCTCCACATTGAGCCGAACCAGTTGAGGTGGCTCAGGCACCTGTTTAGGATGCCCCCTGGATGCCTCCCTGGGGAGGTATTCTGGGCATGTCCCTCTGGGAGAAGGCCTCGGGGCAGGCCCAGGACATATTGGAGAGATTATGTCTCCCGGCTGGCCTGGGAACACCTTGGGGTTCCTCCTGAGGGCTAGAGGAGGTGTGTGGGGAAAGAGAAATCTGGGGGGCTCTACTCAGACTACTGCCCCCACGACCCGGCCTCAGATACAGTGGACAAAGATGGATGGATGGATGGATAAAAGGGGAAATCACATGACTGTGGTGTTTAATTTAACCCCACATGGAGCCCACTGTATTTACCTGGGAGAATGAGTTACAGTAAACATGTATGGCAAAGGGCCTAGCTGGCATTGTTTAGAGCATGGCAGTCCTCATCTGAAGCAAGGGACCAGGATCTGCCTTGGTCTGTGGATCTGGAGGAGCCACTGTAAGTGGACAACAAGGAAGAGTTTCACTCACCAGCATATGGCCCATGGACCAGCGAGGTGACTTAGGCTTGCTACCCGCCATCCCACAGACACCCCAACCGATATGCCAGCTAGTTCTGCACCAAGAGAGGAGGTGGTGGAGGACTGAAGTAAGACCAACATTTACAGTACATCTCACCTGACTCTTCCTCCGGCTCTGCTGCTGCTGCAGTAGAGTGCACGGATGAAGTGGAGGGTTTATTGAGATCCGATGTGCTCCGAATTATTAAACTGACTTTGGTGAAGGTGGTTAAAATACTGATCACTGCTCACATACAATCATTGTGCAGAGTGTGCGCTACCAATGCTGAGCCATCTAAACACAGCTGTTCAAATCCTCTCCTTAAACAAGTGCTTCATGACATTTATTATAAGCCAGATCATCCAGGGTTGTTGGGTGGAGTTGACTGATTAAAATATCCTGCTGAGGAGGAGTTGGGAGAAAAGTTAAAAACAGAAGATGTGAAAGACTGGCTGTTTGAACAAGACACATACATATACACAAACCTACACAGTATCATTTCATGATAGACAGTTTATACTGCTTATTTTGCATTGTTTGCACTGTTTGTTGCTTGTTAATCCTGCTTATTTTATTATATTACACAGCCTTATGCTGGTTTATGGTTTACTTGCCCCTTGCATGGGGATATGTACTCATTGAGAGCTGATGAACCAGGGTCCGGTGTGTGTCCGACAGCTGGCTAATAAAGCAGATTCTGATTCTGATTCTATAGGCCCCACCTGCATCAGCCTGTTCGAGAAATTATATGATACAATAGACAAGCTTATATTGGAAATTAACCACATTTTTAAACAAAGTTGGATATCTTGCTAGTATACAATACAAACATGAAGAAAGTAGCTCTCGGTGACCCGAAACACACCATCATATTTGATCCAACATTGGCCTATATGCCGGGATTTCAATCCAAAATTTATAATACGATCGCTGATAGAACAGTGGCGCCATATGGTGCAGATATAAATGCCAGGCTAAATAATCTATACATTTACTTAGACATTATACACTACCAACTAGCTGGTGACATACGCACCTCTCTTAAGAATTGCAGTTCAGGGCAACTCTGGTGATGTTATAACCATCTCATATTAGAGGGCCCACTCTCTGCCATTGTCCAGAAATCACATTGCAAACATTAAAATAGAAAAGTGACATGGGTGAATTTATTAATTTCACATACAGGCAAATCATTGTGAAACTACATTTTAGACCCATCAAAGGATTTTGAAGATGTTCCATCAGGATCAATGCCACTTCATACAATATTATATGTCACAAGCAGGGAGCAGTTTACTAGTATTCCAGGGGGTGCTCGTGTTATATGGGAGAGGCATAGGAAGAATATTTGCAAAACTGTTTGTCATGCCTTTGGCCCGGAAATCATTTGAAACCGCCAAACTACATATTAAAATCACAGCATGAGATTTAACAAAACACGCAGTCAGCACCCTGATGGTGGCAGCCCGGAAGCCCTCTGGCACACAACCAGAGGCCTCAGGAATTTATCTGCTGTCATATACTGTACGTCTCTCAGGAGAGGACTGAATAAAAATGCACTCCAATCATTCACACCTTACAATTTCGTCGGAAGTGACACATCTCACAAGAATCTAATGACATCTTTTAGAAAATGGCCCTCATTCACCCCAAGTCAGCCAAATGCACCTTGACACAACTGGATCTGTTCACAGCCCCATTAACGCAACTCAGTATTGAGGATATGTGGAGTTACATCCTGTAGCCTCCATCGCACAAAGCATCTCTCAGAATTTTTTTTTATCAATCAATCCTGTTATATTGATTTGAATTCAACATTACTGCCTCTTTGAAAATAACCACAGGTGATGGGGGAAACATCCCTGCAGATGCAGCGGTCGAGATAATTAATTATCCGTTAAATACCATTTTTTCCACAGTGTGATGTCACAATTGGAGATAAACTCATTTCTCAGTCCAGCGCGATATATCCCTAGTGTGTTAACTCTTTCTGATCTAGAATACTTCTGCAAAGTTAATAAGGCTTTAAGCAAAGGCAGTTTATGTCTTAATCTCACCGACATCGTGCTTACACCAGGGAAACAGACTCTGTACTGGTTTTTTATGTTCTTGTTGGTTGGGACATAACAGCAGGTGTTTCACTGGGGAATAATCCACTGTGTAGATGCAGATGGTCCAGACAGCACTGTGTCAGGTCCACTAATAAATATTTAAAAGTTTCACACATCACATCAGCATAACTCTCCATAAAATACTTTTTCTTGTGAGGATACATTTGCTGGGCTAAAACATTGATTTGGGCTTTATTCCTGGGGTTTTTGAATAAAAATGTGCATGTATCTGAGCTGATGGTTTTTTCCAGACCTCAAAGGGCCACAAACAGAAACAGAACAAGGTGTACACAACTTGACAACATCAGCATCTATCTGCCAACTATATTGAGCCATTTCAGTAACCAAAAGGCAGTGTTGACCCATCAGGCAACAGCCTGCATTTGTCAAAACCATTCTGCACTTCTTTAACTTCACATTTCTCAAGACAAATCCCTGAATTTTCTCCCTCACAGGATGTCAGGCTGTGGTGTCTGGCTAATGTAGCTGTCCTCCAGTGCTCTGAGGCACAGTTTTCATAATTTAGAGTGATCCTCTTGGCTTTCAGTGTCACTTTGTTTTTCCTTTGTCTGATATGTCTATGCAGGCATTGCGCTGCCTAATTAGCAAACACACAGCCTCAACTGCTCTTCTCCCCCTGCTTCAGCATAAGCACATTTATTCATGGAAGGAAAATACCAAACACACTAATGTTCAACAAAGAGTAGACATGTACCCAAGAAAACTGCATAATGACTGCGAATGAGGTGATGCAGAAATTACACTGGCAGGAAAATAGAGCCCTAAGAGCATAAAGCCACTGTATGTCTGTGTCACTACAGGAATAATGTATAATTAATAACTTTCTTCCAGGCCAATGTGTTTTGTGAAACAACTGGAGATCCCTCAGTATGGCAGCTACCGGCCCAACACCGTGACCACCACACCACGGGCTAACCTGGCAAAGGAGCTGGAGAAATACTCCAAAGTGTCTTTTGACTATGCAAGCTTTGATGTCCAGGTGTTTGGAAAGCGTATGCTTATTCCAAAGACACCCAGTACCACTGAAACATCATCCAAAGCCTTCAAATGTAAGACCTGCACAAACTTCAGCTCCATGCTCCATTTCTATATTTGATTTTGACATGGCATATACATACTGTATATACTCATGAAATTTAAAAACACACCACATTTCTGTAATTTAACAAATATGTGGTGTGTTTTTACATTTCATGAGTATAGATAGATGGGAAGAGAGAGACTATCAATCCCTCAGAGAGAAATTCTGTTAAAATGTAAAATTAAGGGTAACATTGGAAAATCTGACAATAAAACTTTGACAAAATTTACTGGTTTTAACAAAAATTCTATGATGTCAGGGCTGTCTGTGATAAATATTGTGTGTAATTTGCCCGACTCCTGTTCTTATTCTAGTAAATTCACTTTGCACCATTCCCACACAGCTAAAACGTTCCATAAGGCCTCCGCCCCGAGTCACAGTATGTCAGGAGGATTTTCTAAGAGCACCTTATCATCCGGTGGCTATGAGTATAGCCAAGATGCAGAGGCAGCCCACATGGCAGCAACAGCCATTCTAAACCTGTCCACCCGTTGCTGGGAGAGACCAGAGACTCTCAACACCAAGCCCAGGGAGACCTGCACCAAGGTTCTCTGGCTTTCATTCAGACACATTCTTCTTGGGGATAACTTTAGATTAACACAACAATGCACCATGTGCTGCACTCTCATTCCTTAATATTCTGCCCATTTCAGTTGCACTGACTGTGTATCTGAACTCTGTAGGAGTCAGACATTGAAGTTGATGAAAATGGGACCTTGGACCTCAGCATGAAGAAGACCAAGAGGGAAGGCATGCAGTCTCCAGAGCCTTCATCCTCTCAATACACTGGAGCCACCTTGTCTCAGAGTCACACTCACCCAGAATCAGAGGAACCGCTGGACTTCACCAAACCAAGTGGAGTCAAAGAGGAAGACCATGAAGAGGTACTATACTACACACATCCAGTATAGGAGAGTGAAAGATAATGTTGTAACAGTCATCAACAACCTGTTTTTGTGCAGCTTTATGCATATTACATATGTTTTTACTTGTCTTCAGGTGGAGTTTATGGCTCCCTCATGTACCTCATCTGATGGTGAGGAAGAAGACCAAGAGGATCTGGGGGACAGGAGGTACCCCGGTGAGGTCACCACCACCAACTTCAAGGTCAAGTTTCAGCCAAAAGACTGCAAAAAAGAGGTTCTTGTGTAAGTCACAATGTTTAACATACCACCATTAAAATTGTAATATTGAGGAACCTTTTTTTTTTTTTCATTGCGTGGATGCTGAGTCAGCATCCACACTATGTTATCCTGTTTATTTTTTTTATTTCCTCCATATGTTTTTTGGCACTTAACTCCGGCATGCTTACAGCTAGAAAAACCAGTCAAATACCAAACTGTTCAGCTTTTTAAAGACATGTGTGCTTGTATTTTTCTTATTTGTAACATTTATACTTTTTAATAAATTCAACTTTTTTCAAAAAAAATTCCCATAAAAATGAATAGGAGAGTCTTCAAATGTTCCTCCTCTTTGAACCTTAATCGCTCCAGCATACTTTCAGATAGAAAAATCATTCAAATATCAAACTGTGCAGCATTTTAAGGACATTATGGCATGTATTCAGCTTTTTTGAACACTTATACTTTTTATTAAATTCAGCTTTTTACAACATATAATTATAATGGAAGTGAATGGGAGAATGTTCCTCCTTTTCCAGCCTTTACAGCTTTGGCATACTTTCAGCTATAAACAACATTCAAGCTGTAAAAGATTCAGCAAGTCTTCAGCTATTTGTACTAACAGCTTTTTGATATCTGTTATACCTTTTACAATATACAGCATTTTGCAACATAATGTTATAATGGAAGTCAGTGGGAGAGTCTTCAAATATTCCTTCTCTTTGAACCTCTTTTTATAAGTCTGGCATACTTTCAGCTAGAAACACAATTTAAACTTTACTCAACTCAGGGCTTGTTCAGCTATTGAACTTGTAAACAGCTTTTTGATATCTTTTATGGTTTTTGCATAATCTCCATTTACATTTTATATGCCACCCCATTCATTTTCAATGTGGCTATTTATTTCTATAGCCTCACTCTAGAGTCACGTGACCCCTGCTCTGAGTCTCTGTGTGTTTTTCACGACTTTCCTGCTGGTTTTCTGCTTTTATTCTGCCAACCTTAAGCTTTCACACACACACGTTATATATGAAAAAGGTAGAGAAAATTGTGAAGAATTCGAATATGATTATTGTGATAGGATGAACTGGTTTTTGCATAAAGTGGCACATTCCACAGACAGTGTCGCCTCACTCTCCCATAGGCTCCAATGTAAAAATCACCTCTGATAATGTCCTCCAGGCAAAAGTGTGGGCTATTTCTACATCACCACTCTTCCTTCATTTTTTGCAATATCTTGACATAAAGGGGATCAAAAGTTTGTTGAAACCTCTTGCCACTGGTAGTGAAGAGGTATTTTCGATAGGACTTATAGTTTTCCTTCATTAGACATTTTTTTGAAGCCCATGTTTCACTGATATTTGCTGCTGTTTTCTAAGTGCTCAGTCACTAAACCACCAAACGCTGCACACATACACACCCCTTCTTGTTTCTCCTACTGCTTTGGGACTGCTCACATACAGGTGCTTTTTTCCCCTACTTTGTCAGGCCTGCAGACACACACACACACACACACACACACACACACACACACACACACACACACACACACACACACACAGGTTGGTCTGCCTTCAAAATATATGTGTCAGATGTCAGTAAACATTACTTATTCTTTTAGAACTTTAAGCCATGGATTTTCTACCTCTGACCTCAGGATTACACCTTCCCTTCAACTGTTTTAGGAATGCTCTCAAGTTCTCACCTTCTTCTGATAATGAAGTTCAGCTCATTTCCAGCGTTTTCAGGGTGCTTGTTCACGATTTCAGTTTCCACATACATTTTTGTCAGGAAATGCATTTGTGAAGACTAGTTCAGAACAGTTCAGGTTGGACAAGCATCAATAATAATACTAATAGCACTTTTCCAAATAGATACAAAGTGCCTAACAATAAAACATGTGAGCAGCAAATAGTTAACAAAAAAATGATGATAGTGAGACACCTGTCAATCAGTCATTCAAACAATTATGCAACCTAAAAATATAAACCTTTGTGTTCATCTCATAAGAGTCACAATACTGTAAATAGTTATAAATACTAGCTGTTAATAGCATTCACATCAATATCCAAGTCAAAATTTTAGCCTACAACTAGGAAATTTTTTTTCTGAAAGCTATTATATCTGACTTGGCATTTAATGTTACAGGAGCGGCTAAAATATTACCATTATCCTAGGTAATTAAACTCTAATCTAATTGATATTCTCCTACTGTATATTTTCCAAGTATAGTATTTTATCCTCCACACAACCAACTCTGCAGTCACACAACTAACTTTAGTTGTTAGATTGTGTGAATTTGTAAACATACATAGGAATCTTTACCATCTCTACAATCCATCCCATATGACCTGAACACAGCATTAGGTTCAGAGTTGTTGCTAAGACGCATATAAACCCAGTAATAAATCCTGTATTAAAGGCCTAAATTCTTTGGGGACAAAAACAAGTCTAAAGTGATCTGAAATGTCAGTATACCACCATCTTCAGAGGCAAAAGACTCATCTATGAGTGTGTGTTTTGGCCCTAGATGTCCCACCCCAGGCTGTGATGGCAGTGGACATATCACTGGGAACTACGCATCACATCGAAGGTAAAACCTGCACTCTGGCTTGAAATGTCCGATGACATGTTCACACCTTATTATTTTTCCTGCCCACTATTACTGCAACCACTATTACATTACTTTTAATAGTTCTGTAGAAATCAGATAATAAAATATGTCTTATTCTACCTGTGCGTGTGTGTGCGGCCAGTCCTGGCTCTGTTGTCTAATTCTAGCTCATTTCTTAGCTCATATTTAGATATCCTGTTCTCTGATTTTCTGAAGTCCTCTCTATAACTTATCTTCCAGTCTGTCAGGCTGTCCTCTTGCTGATAAATCACTTCGGACCCTCATGGCTGCCCACACAGCTGAACTAAAGTATGTCTGCTTTCTCCTTTCACCTGCAACATGTTCACTGGGTACTGAATCTGCAGATACGGCTCTGTCCCTGCTTTCTTTTAAACATGAATATAAAATAGTCAAAATCAATCATAATAAATTCCAGTATTGAAAAATCAAAATCAGAGGCAATAACTCTTAATTACTGTACAGCGCTCACTGCCATAATCTGTATGTCTATCAGGGTAGGAGGTCCATCTGCAGTTAAAATCATCAAAACATGCTGAGTTTCCAAACAGATTTCGAGCAGCATGGTTTGTTACAAATGCCAGACATGTATTTATGACACAAGATATGATGTATATATGTTCTGAAGTACTTTTTCTTTTGTAGATAGTGAAAATATTTTCTTAATATAATACTTAAGATGAAGTTACTCAATGTTTTATTTCCTAATTATATTCTTCTTCTTACTGCCATAATATAATTTTGTGGGGTGAGGGTGGGGCGACATGATTAATGAATGATTAACTAGACAGCACCCGGAAAGTGCAGCTTCCGCCAAGGAGCAAGTTCGTTTCTCCATAATGCCATAAAAGCAATATTCCCATGATAGTTTAACTCTTATATGTGATTGCTTGACCATGAACACCTACTGTTGGCATTTGGAATGACACTGATATCATTATTAGTTTGAAAGTTATTTTAACAAAATAATAGAGATGAAAGACATCCACTCAGAGACTTTAGTGAGTGGATTGTGGGCAAAGTGGTATCACATTTCTGCAAGCCTGTGTTCTGCGTGTTCAACACCTGTTTGATAAACTGCTCATATAGTCTCCGTTACTGGCTGGTTGTTGCACTATGGAGCAATCCTTTACATCTTGTGCTCTCCCTCTGCCCAGCTGTGAGTGTGTGTCTCTAAACAGACACAGAAAATACAATGGAAAAACAAAGCAAGACAGTCCATGCCAACCAAGTCATAGAGATATACAGTTGAAGTTAGAAGTTTCCATAGACCTTAGCCAAATACATTTAAACTCAGATTTTCACAACTCCTGACATTTAATCCTATAAACATTCCCTGTCTTAGGTCAGTTAGGATCACTTGCTTTATTTTTAGAATGTGAAATGTCAAAATAAAATCAGAGAAAAAGATTTATCTCAGCTTATATTTCTTTCATCACATCCCTGTGGGTCAGAAATTTACATACACTTGGTTAGCATTTGGCAGCATTGTCTTTAGATTGTTTAACTTCAGTTCAGTTTGAACACACACATAAGACAGAAATTGATTCATCTGCAGTATTTGTGTTATGTGCCAACAGCAGCTACCTAGCATTAGCTCACAAACAGAGATGAGATTAGGTCGCAGAGTCATTTGTCTGTCGCTCTCATAGACTGGATCTGTACGTCCGCTATGAGTTAGCTACCATCAGTTACAACTAGCTAAGGCTACCCATTTTGAATTACTACAGTCAGTAGAGTAAGATCCAAATGATTTAAGCAACTTTTAAGCTTAAAAAAGCAAGAATATATGCAGGTAAATACAGTGCTTATCTCCCAAAATGGCACCCAGTCTCAAAATTCAACATGGCGCCTTCACATTCTCTATACCAGTCCTATGGATGAAAATGTTAACACCTTTGAGCCTGGCTCAAAATCAGGCTCTTGCCCAGCTGTCACTGCATAGAGTAAATCTTCACTTCTGGAAGTGAAATGTCTGGAGTTTTCCATGTTTCTCCTTGAACAAACTTAACCTGCTTTCTGTGTTACCCCCTTGACTGTAGCATGTCTGGTAGCTATAGGAACATGACCAAAAACAGATTAGCTTTACATAGTACATTAACATGAGTGAATAGTAAATGGCACAAATGGCTAAATAAGTGTTCCATGCAGAATGACATAACAATGTGTACTAACAATTCTTCATAGATGCACACAACACTTATTAGGTGCACTAATCTTGACTCCTGTGCTTGGTAGTGCAGCCACACATATTGGCCACAAGGGGCTCACATACAGTACAGTCAACCTTTTAGAAAAATCCTGTATCCAAATTATGTGACGGATCAGCACCAAAATTTAATTTGTTGTTTGGTGAGTCATACCATACCTCTCCAAAAAGTTTCATTAAAATCTGCTCATTACTTTTTGAGTTATGTTGTTAACAATCAAAACAAACAAACCAACGCCCACAAAAACATAACTCCCACCTATGGCAGAGGTAATAAAAATACATAACACTAGCGTTACAACATTATTTATTTAATTTTTTAAAATATTTTTCCAGGCATTTTAACCCACCTTTTATTTATTCAGTGGGTTGCAGAGAGGTGCACTGGAAGCAAGGGAAACAGAGGGAGTGAGAGACCGGTCAACAGATCTGTCAGCAGGGCACATGGTGCACCATAACCATTCGGCTATGGGGCACGCCCAAGTTAAAGCATTATTATGATGTAATATTGTTGGCAGGCTTTTGTTGGTATTCCTCTGGATTTCCGGGTTGCAAGCGAGAGCAGACGTCTTTACTGCTCCTCTTGTCTGTTCTACACTTCAAGTCTTTGAACATACTTTACAACTACTAAAATGCCTCAAAGAGGGAAAAGAGCTAATAAATCAGAAGCGACTGAGGATATGGAGGCAGAAGAAATGTATCACAGAGTGGCGCAAGTAATGGACATCGTGGATCATCAGAAACAGATGTACATCGCGCTGATGAACCAACAGCAGGAAAGCTTCAAAGGCTTCGTGCAACTAATTATGGAGACAAACAACAAGAGATTCGACGACATGACCAGAGAAATACAGGAGATAAAAACGAGTTTGCAGTTTACCCAGCGAGAGGTGGATGTGATTAAAGCTGCCATGGGTGAACAGAAAACACAAACCAAGGAAACGAGGGATGACGTCTACAAAACGTGTGAGAGTTTAATAACTATAACGGACAAAATGGAGCATCTGGAAGCACAGTCCAAG